TCTCAGTTTACAATTAGAGTAACTTAACTTCCTGGGTTGTGAAATCATGTTTAAAAGACCAGAATTTTAACCACTATAGCACACCAAGTTGATCCATTACTTAACTTAAGTATCCTCTGTTTTATAATTAAAGAGTTATTAATGGAATTGTGGGGAAAAAGTCTTCTCTTCCCGTCACTTTTCTGGTGCCAAAAATAAGCTGCACCACATAAGACGCTAGTCGCCCATGGAAAGGGACATTTTCCGAGGTTATAGGCTATTATTCATGTCAGTTTCTTGTGAAAATACAGGAAGTCTGTTATGCTGCTGCTTTTACTCACAGTAGAGATACCGCAGATACAAAATCGGGCCCTGTAAGGTCATCCAGATTCCGGAATCCGGGTGCTTGTGAAAGCCGAAACCCTCGGCTTTCGAGTCCGTAATCCAAATCAAGGAATCCTAATCCAGTTCCTAGAAACCGGAATCCACTGCGTGCGATCCAAGACTGTCTTGGATTACCTAACGTGGGGCGAACCAAGGTAAATCAGTGGTAAAAAAATAAGCGCGAAGCGGAGGATATTTTGTTGTAACGAGCAATATTAGCCCTTTTCTTGTTTCAAGTCATAATTCCGTGGTTAGAGGTTTGGTTAACTGGATGACTGATTGCGAGCTACATAATCCGTGTTACGACTATAGTACGCCTTTCCACAGTCTGCAATGGTTGCTACTCGGGACGCGAGAGATGACAAATTAGACGAGGTCTGCAATGAACATTTTAAAACTTGGTAAAAATAACAGAAACTGGAAAGACTTCAAGTGCTGTACGGTGTGTACCGACCCCTGAACACGAAACTTACGCACCCGTGGTAGGGGGTAAGTGTAGAAACTTTTTAATCTTTTATAAAGCAACAAAAACAAAGGCGAGATCATGAAGGCTTGTTGGATCATATTCCAGCTTACTGTGGAAACTACTTTGAACTTCTGACACTCTTCTTATCAGCCTTGTACCCAAGGCCCACTCTCTTCTTTTCCTTCCCCAGGTCGAGTCGTTCCTTGAAAAGGAAAACGAAAGAGCCTGGAAACAAGGTTGTTTTAGTAGTAGTTTCCTGTTGATTTATTCTCTTTTATAAGTTTTTAACCAACAAGACTGACGTTTTATTCATTTATTTTTCTCTCCACCAAGTATTACAATTCTTTTAATTTTCTTATCTTTTAATAAACAAGGTCCTGATTAGGACAGAAGGGATGCTCGTTTTAAATGCTTCCTTCGTATCTCAGCAACCGAACGCGGTGACTAGAATCACCACGATCAGCGGCTTTCCTTAAAAGGATTAAAGTTAAGAGTGAGTCAAAAGCACAAACGGCAACCGAAAGCGTGAAAAGATTGTTTGTAACAGCTTAATCGTGCGTGTACGTTTTGAGAAATAAACACTGCTGTGTTTCATTACAAATACTAAGAAGTCATCGTGACTACGATAAGATTAATGCATGACTTTATTAAGTATGCGCTCTAAATACTTTTAGCCACATTTACTAGGATTTCAGCTTACTCCTAGAAGGAAATGGGCACAGGAAGCAAGCTGAGTCCCATCCCAGGAAGATTTGTGTAAACATAAAAGTCCTTAACAGTAAAATCATCACGTTGTCACGGAGAGAAAGAGTTGGTTACCGTTAGTCCTCTTCGTCCTAATTCCAACGATAGGATATCTCCAAATGAACTAGCAATTATAGGATGAGACTGAGGGTAATATGAAGAATTATGCAGATTAAGAGTTCGGATAACACCCTCCGAGGTCTGCATAATTCTTCATATCATACGAAAGCCGAATCCAGTAATTGGTTTCTTTTGTTTACCACAGACAATTTGAGTCCTGTAATGCGTAAGGGAATGATTTAACGACAATTTGAAAATTTCAAATTCAATTCACAAATTTCTAACGCTCCGTGCTTTTGCACTCAACAGACATAATAGAGAATTCTGCTACATAAAAACCTGATAATCTATCTTATTGGACGGGCCAGGTAACCTCATCTGACAAGTCTTAGGCAGCGAGTCCTGAAGTTTTGACATATCTGAATATCTGCATAAGAAGTGATTGTTGCATTATCTGCTTACAAATCGATCTTAGAAGAGCTGACATGAAGACGATAAACAGCAAGGGGCCTAACACCCTACCTTGAGGAAATCCATGGCTGACAGTTGTTAAAATCTTTCGTTTCGGGATTTAAAATGATCCTCATCATCGCAAACTACTTGGAATATATGACAACTTTAAACTGATACATTTGTTGTTTGTACAGTTGTTGTTTGATACAAGGCACTTGCTGGGTTTCACTTTTGTAGTATTAATCAAATTCCAATTATTAAATAGCTATCTACTTTGTTCAGGAACAGTCAACCTTCTCAAGGCGGAAGGCGCACAGCCGTACCAAGCAACTAGAGTTCTGACCCTACCTTAGGTTGAAAATTCTCACAAGGGAGTGTCAAATATACGTGCATGGGTTCTCGGCCGCAAATTTAGTAAACTATTGCTGTCAATGAAGAAATTCCCCTCGCCTGAACAATGGAAATTCATTGATGAATCCTGCAAGCTTTGTTCCTCAGAAATATCGTCAGCGGCCAAAGCTGAACTAGAGACTGGAGAATCGACTNTCTTAGGCAGCGAGTCCTGAAGTTTTGACATATCTGAATATCTGCATAAGAAGTGATTGTTGCATTATCTGCTTACAAATCGATCTTAGAAGAGCTGACATGAAGACGATAAACAGCAAGGGGCCTAACACCCTACCTTGAGGAAATCCATGGCTGACAGTTGTTAAAATCTTTCGTTTCGGGATTTAAAATGATCCTCATCATCGCAAACTACTTGGAATATATGACAACTTTAAACTGATACATTTGTTGTTTGTACAGTTGTTGTTTGATACAAGGCACTTGCTGGGTTTCACTTTTGTAGTATTAATCAAATTCCAATTATTAAATAGCTATCTACTTTGTTCAGGAACAGTCAACCTTCTCAAGGCGGAAGGCGCACAGCCGTACCAAGCAACTAGAGTTCTGACCCTACCTTAGGTTGAAAATTCTCACAAGGGAGTGTCAAATATACGTGCATGGGTTCTCGGCCGCAAATTTAGTAAACTATTGCTGTCAATGAAGAAATTCCCCTCGCCTGAACAATGGAAATTCATTGATGAATCCTGCAAGCTTTGTTCCTCAGAAATATCGTCAGCGGCCAAAGCTGAACTAGAGACTGGAGAATCGACTGATGAAAAAGACAGGAAATCAAACTCGAACAGGTTGGAAGCAGGAGAGATGTTGACGCCAGGTTGACAAAGCAGACGGTTGAGGGTCTGGCATGGTAGACGTGACAACGATCGCGCATATGAGATGATCTCTGGACCCGTCCCAGAAAGGTCGCGTGGGCAAAGACTCAGGGACGCGAAAGTAAGCTGCCTTTTAATGCTCTTGATGAGCTGTTTGCATTCACCACTATCATCATCAGCAGCATCAGCATCAGCATCGTCGTCGTCATCGTCATCGTCATCATCACTGCTAGTGTGTAAAGGCTTCATTATTGAGTTTCGGTTTTTCTAAAAATAAAGTATAAGAATGAATAATAATATGACATAAAGGGGGCATAAAGTCAAGTGTGTAGTTTGTAAGTGTTGAATAGCTTATTGTTACTTCTGACAAATAAAAGACATTCGTGCCTGTAGCCTCTTTATTACATCATATCATGATTGCCTTCTATTGTTTGAAAACATTGGTCAATCCATAATTTCAACATAGACGATAATGCACCTTGTTTACCCCTCCCTCCCTCCCCCCCCCCACCCCCCCAAACTTTTGAATAACCATCGTTTCCAATTTCTCCTGGGTGTTGTGAATCTTCTAATTGTACCGTGTTGCACGAAATTTTTGCGGGTGTTTATTTTTGCAGATTGGTGATTTTTTTGTGTGTTGCGGAAACTAATTTTTGCGATTAGGACAGATTGCTTTTTCTTGCAGGGAATTAATTTTTGCGATTTTCAGAAAGTACCCAGTTCCCAGCATTGATAATATTTTCGTTTTTGTTAAGTACGTGCAATAGAAATACATATTACAATACTACGGTATGCGTAAGGGGGGAAGTTGTAATTGAACAGACACGATTTCTTAGTGCTGTATTTTTGTATAGCGAATTTAAGTTAGAGAATATTTACTCTGAAGTAAATTTTTGCGGGAAAAATGTTTGCGGTAATTTTTATTTGCGGGAACTTATTTTTGCCGATCTCTGGAAAAACGCAAAAATTAAAACTCACAAAAATTTCGTGCCACCGGGTAGGTAGTGTTTCCTTGGAGAGAAGAACACGTGGGCCGCAAAAAGTCAGGGTAAAAGGTTGGAATCACTTACCAGAGATGACTTGTATTTTACAGAAGTTTTCCTCTTTAATGATATTAATTCCTCCTCTGTTCGCATGAGGCGCTCTTTCAAACGTTGGGTTTCTGCGATGGCCATTTCTTGACGAAGGTTATACTCTTTAGTCTCCATAACTAATCTTTTTATAGTTTCGTCTTTCTCTTTCAGGGCTTCCCGTAACTGCTGGTATATCAGCTCCCTTTCACTTCGAGCTTCAAATTTCTCGTTTATGGCTTTAATCATTTCCTTACCGTGAAATTCACACTGCTCCTTGTATTTATTGACAAATCCAGTAAGTTCGTCGTTTTGTGCTTTGACATTCAACTCTTGCTGTTGAGAATTTGCCAGCTCGAATTTCAGCTCTCGGATTTGTTTTCTGAGCTGAGAACAATTNGAACAGACACGATTTCTTAGTGCTGTATTTTTGTATAGCGAATTTAAGTTAGAGAATATTTACTCTGAAGTAAATTTTTGCGGGAAAAATGTTTGCGGTAATTTTTATTTGCGGGAACTTATTTTTGCCGATCTCTGGAAAAACGCAAAAATTAAAACTCACAAAAATTTCGTGCCACCGGGTAGGTAGTGTTTCCTTGGAGAGAAGAACACGTGGGCCGCAAAAAGTCAGGGTAAAAGGTTGGAATCACTTACCAGAGATGACTTGTATTTTACAGAAGTTTTCCTCTTTAATGATATTAATTCCTCCTCTGTTCGCATGAGGCGCTCTTTCAAACGTTGGGTTTCTGCGATGGCCATTTCTTGACGAAGGTTATACTCTTTAGTCTCCATAACTAATCTTTTTATAGTTTCGTCTTTCTCTTTCAGGGCTTCCCGTAACTGCTGGTATATCAGCTCCCTTTCACTTCGAGCTTCAAATTTCTCGTTTATGGCTTTAATCATTTCCTTACCGTGAAATTCACACTGCTCCTTGTATTTATTGACAAATCCAGTAAGTTCGTCGTTTTGTGCTTTGACATTCAACTCTTGCTGTTGAGAATTTGCCAGCTCGAATTTCAGCTCTCGGATTTGTTTTCTGAGCTGAGAACAATTGGCCAACAGATTGTCATACTTCTTTTGCAATTCCTTCTTATTCTTCTTCTCGATATCAAAGCAGGCTTTCAGGGCTTCAGACCATTCTTTAAGCTCACTGAACTCCGCTTCGGCTTGGTCCTTCTCCATCTGAACTTTGCGCAAGCTTATCGTCAGCTTCTTAGTTCGATCCAAACTACTTCGCTGGAGGGCTATCTCCTCTGCAAGAATAAGGGAATGCCTTCTTTCTTTCTCGTTGTAGTGCATAAGCTCTTCATTTCTTTTTCCCTCTTCTTCTAACTTCTTTTTTAATTGTTTCGCTTCTTCTTCTGATGTCACCAGTTTCATCAGCACCGCTACAAGCCCAAGAAACCAACCACCCATGGCTTTCTCGAACTCTTTTCTCTGAACACTGGCGTCTTCTTCAAATTTCTGCGCAGTGTTCTGCGCTTCCTCTGCTCGTTCGACTGCCTTTCTTAGCTGATCCTCCATGGTCTGTAAACGTTTGAAGTCCAGCTCCCGATCAGCAGTGACCTTACAAAGAACCTTACTTTGCTGTTGATTTTCTTTCAGTAGTTGGTCATATCTTAGAGTCATCTCCTGCAAGTCCCCTACAGCTCTTCTCAAATGGTTACCGAGAATGTCCATGTCACGTTGAGGGTCTAGGTCTAGGATGCCAGGGTAACACATTAAGTTAATTGATGCTTGATTAAACTTCAAAATTCCCAAGATATGATTAGCAATCCGCCATTCTCCATTATGCAAATCATCATGATTTGCATAATGAAGGCGCCGTGACGTAAATGACTAAATGTCTACGCGAGTTAGTTGCACGTGGCGGTGACCAACTCGAAAGCCTCAGCTTCTTTGGTCACTACGCACATTTCACCTTTGCTAATTTATGTAATTTATTGTTCTATTTTTTTCGTACTTCTGTGATGTATTGTAATTTTTGTAGTAACCTCTTCAAATAGTGCAAAGAATAAAAAAATCTGAAGTGAATCTGAATGTTTCTGGCTGCTGTACATTTTATTTTACACTAGAGAGGAGAATTTGGGTTTATATCAAAAGTGCACGTTCTGGTTGCTATATTTGCCAATTCTCATTATCTTTCTGTTGAAAAATGTATTGTATATCATAAGGAGAAGTTAGTTGCTGATCACTTCTGGGGTTTAAAGTATTTAGGGAAGATGCAGGAAGTTGTAGTTGTCCTTGAAGAACTCAGTATCAACAACAAAGTGATACACAATTGCGAAACAAAACACCCGAAAAACAAGTTTTGTCAGAACTGAAACGTTTGTTATTGACACCTGTCGTACAGTTAACCTTCTTATAAAAAGATTATTTTACCTGTCAACACGGACATGCCACTGACTTCATTAATGATGGGATTCTCTCCTGTTTGATATAAAAAAAACCAACAACAACACTTAAATAGCTTTCTCTAATGTTCTTCGCTTGGTAATTAAAAATAAGGCAGAGCTAGCCTTTAGAGATAATAAGGCGAATTTTGAAGAAAAGATTGACATAATAATAATAAATGATACTAACTTTATTACACAACGAACGAAAAAATTCGTCTTAATCTCCCTTCAAAGGTGTCTAAAATAGAGCCATAATAGATTACTGTAGTTTTTATCGTATAAGGTGCTGTGAACCCACGCGCTGAAATGAGTCACAGAAAAGGCTGTTGAAGTTCTGCGATAAGACTGTTCAGGCCAACGCTGCATGTGCTCAAATGGATAGAAACTGAGGCTGAATCAGCTTTTGGGTCCCTAAGACCGGCTAAAATGAGTGGCACTTAAGCGGTAAAGCGATGTGTGTGAATTTACAGTGTAAGTGAACACTTGGGAGCTAGATGGCCAAACCCAAGGGACTTCCAACATGTGTTTACAAGAGAGCATTATTCCCTCTTGGTACTTGCTATATCGTTCACACGATACCCGATAACTTTTCGTGCCGACAGGAAAAATCATTCGGTATCGGTATAAACACCTATCTGGTATGTGAGACTAGCTCCACTTAAGAGATGGGCAGGGGGCAACTTTGTGTCGTAACAGAAATTGCGTCAAAACCACCGTTCTTGTGTGNAAGCTAATGGAGCAGGTAAGTGGGCGGTGTGTGGGGTGTTGCCGTGAGATCGCAAGTAAATTTGTTTTTATAACGGCACAGAGAAGCAATTTCTTTTTATAACGGCACAGAGAAGCAAACTTTAAAGTCTCATTTGTTTGAATGGCACAATAAAACAATTCACAATACGTGTCAGCCGCTTGAATTATAGAACCTGACTTGATCTGTGATTAAGGAATTCTTACACTTTTAATCAGTATTTTAAGTCAATAGGGAAGTAGGATTCTGAACCCAAAGAACACATCCGGAATATTCGAGAAATGAATGTTAGCCAACATTAGCACAGTCACGTTAGTATATAAGTGTATGAATGTATGTAAATTCTCGAGAAGCCCATGCATAGCACGAAGAGTTTGCCCAACCAAAAGAACCAAAGTCAATATGGCAACGAGGCCAGTTTCTCACAAAAATCTACTTTTATGCGTGTTTTTGACGTCCTGGTAAAAGTTGGTATAATTAAGCCTGAGTGACAGACGTCGAAAGGGAAATGGGGAGGGTGGGAAATAGCAGGGATATGGGAGGGGGGAATTGGTAAAAAAGAAAAGGCCTTCTATCTTTTCCCTTTCTCGCTTTTCTCCCTATTTCCCCTCCCTACCCCGCCCCACTTTTATTGTGCTGTTACAGTGATATGAGCATCCCCGCGTTTTGGGCATCCCCATTCCCGAAACCAGTAGGGTATCGAGGTTTTTGAATCTTATTGACTTTTTCATATCACTTCAAAACACTGACTAAAGAAAAACATTTCCTCAGTTTTATAGCTAGGAACCAGAAATTCACATCGTGATTTAACAAGGCTAGAATTTTCCGGTTTTATAAGGTAATGACGACGCGTTCGCTTCCGGAAACATATCCATACTCGATTAGAAAAGTGTTTTAAAAAATACTTATGAATTTGCTGCATCATGTTTCCGCTGATTGTTTTTACTTCATCCTCAAAAAGGAGGAAAGAGGAACAATAATGCATGACTAAGCTGTTCTGTGACCAGAGTTAGACTGATAAAGACATTCGAGAAATGAACAAGGAAAAGCGGCCTTTATAAAACGATATAATAACACATAAGCTTTTTTTTGAAAAGTCCTATACTGATTCAACCAATTTCGTTTTGACATTGATTGACTTGAAAAGAGTTTAAATTTACCCAAAGGAGAGATGTTTGTTATCTTAAGTGTTTAAGGTCACGCAGCGAATCATGTAAGGCAATTTCAGCCTGTTAACAACTGGTTATAAAATTGACTGAAATACAAATGCTCAAAATTTTAGACAGCCACAATGTGAATAAAACCTGAAAAAAGCCAAGACGGCATTGAATAAAGTTGAAGAATGTAGGACTGACTTTTAAAATAAAGTTTACGGTCATTTAAATAACTTCACTAAACTGAGATTTACAATGATCAGTAATAATCAAATGAACACAGTCGACTCTCTCAACGGGCACCTCTATAAGATGGGCACCTTTGTAAAACGGACACCTAGAGTTGGTCCCTGCCTTTCTTTACTCCATTTATTAAACTCTCTATAATACGGACATCACCCTCAGAGACGGTCCCTTAGTGTCGGTCTCAAAAGCCGCCTTAGAGAGCTTTATAGAAAGTTAAACGTGCCCGTTACTGGCGGATTTGATCAATACAATACTTTCACTTAGCCCCATTTTTAGTTTAGGGCTCCTAATAAACGCAAACAGGACAAAAATTGCTAAATAATCGTGGCCGAGGACCTTTAAAACGGGTGAAATTCTTTAACTCACTTGTTGTTGCTTTTTGACCGGTCAGCACCTCATAAAGCCCTGGATTTAACAGCTGCAAAACATCAAGAAAGTGCACCAAACCGTCCGAATCTTTCGTTTTCAGAATGTCTAGCAGTTTGCTGGCTTTTCGTTCTTTTGTCTTCTCGGCGTTCACTAGTTCGCAATCTTCACTGTCAAATACCTCTTTACTTCGCAAATGATCGAAAAGAAGCGAGCGATCAACACGTAGTTGCTGGACTATTTGCACTCTGTGGCTTTGTAAACTCTCCCAGATTTCATCCATGCTAAAATTCGTTGGAACTGCGTATCAACTTTTCAAAGTATCAAGAACTCCTAAGTGAGCCGCAACTGCGAGTTCAAGCCGCATTTTATTCTACAGCGATCTATATAGTTCGGCAATTTTAAATTTCCTTCTTTGGTAGAAAAAATGCCGAATTTCTCAAACAAGCTGAAACGACTAAAAAGCTAATGGAGCAGGTAAGTGGGCGGTGTGTGGGGTGTTGCCGTGAGATCGCAAGTAAATTTGTTTTTATAACGGCACAGAGAAGCAATTTCTTTTTATAACGGCACAGAGAAGCAAACTTTAAAGTCTCATTTGTTTGAATGGCACAATAAAACAATTCACAATACGTGTCAGCCGCTTGAATTATAGAACCTGACTTGATCTGTGATTAAGGAATTCTTACACTTTTAATCAGTATTTTAAGTCAATAGGGAAGTAGGATTCTGAACCCAAAGAACACATCCGGAATATTCGAGAAATGAATGTTAGCCAACATTAGCACAGTCACGTTAGTATATAAGTGTATGAATGTATGTAAATTCTCGAGAAGCCCATGCATAGCACGAAGAGTTTGCCCAACCAAAAGAACCAAAGTCAATATGGCAACGAGGCCAGTTTCTCACAAAAATCTACTTTTATGCGTGTTTTTGACGTCCTGGTAAAAGTTGGTATAATTAAGCCTGAGTGACAGACGTCGAAAGGGAAATGGGGAGGGTGGGAAATAGCAGGGATATGGGAGGGGGGAATTGGTAAAAAAGAAAAGGCCTTCTATCTTTTCCCTTTCTCGCTTTTCTCCCTATTTCCCCTCCCTACCCCGCCCCACTTTTATTGTGCTGTTACAGTGATATGAGCATCCCCGCGTTTTGGGCATCCCCATTCCCGAAACCAGTAGGGTATCGAGGTTTTTGAATCTTATTGACTTTTTCATATCACTTCAAAACACTGACTAAAGAAAAACATTTCCTCAGTTTTATAGCTAGGAACCAGAAATTCACATCGTGATTTAACAAGGCTAGAATTTTCCGGTTTTATAAGGTAATGACGACGCGTTCGCTTCCGGAAACATATCCATACTCGATTAGAAAAGTGTTTTAAAAAATACTTATGAATTTGCTGCATCATGTTTCCGCTGATTGTTTTTACTTCATCCTCAAAAAGGAGGAAAGAGGAACAATAATGCATGACTAAGCTGTTCTGTGACCAGAGTTAGACTGATAAAGACATTCGAGAAATGAACAAGGAAAAGCGGCCTTTATAAAACGATATAATAACACATAAGCTTTTTTTTGAAAAGTCCTATACTGATTCAACCAATTTCGTTTTGACATTGATTGACTTGAAAAGAGTTTAAATTTACCCAAAGGAGAGATGTTTGTTATCTTAAGTGTTTAAGGTCACGCAGCGAATCATGTAAGGCAATTTCAGCCTGTTAACAACTGGTTATAAAATTGACTGAAATACAAATGCTCAAAATTTTAGACAGCCACAATGTGAATAAAACCTGAAAAAAGCCAAGACGGCATTGAATAAAGTTGAAGAATGTAGGACTGACTTTTAAAATAAAGTTTACGGTCATTTAAATAACTTCACTAAACTGAGATTTACAATGATCAGTAATAATCAAATGAACACAGTCGACTCTCTCAACGGGCACCTCTATAAGATGGGCACCTTTGTAAAACGGACACCTAGAGTTGGTCCCTGCCTTTCTTTACTCCATTTATTAAACTCTCTATAATACGGACATCACCCTCAGAGACGGTCCCTTAGTGTCGGTCTCAAAAGCCGCCTTAGAGAGCTTTATAGAAAGTTAAACGTGCCCGTTACTGGCGGATTTGATCAATACAATACTTTCACTTAGCCCCATTTTTAGTTTAGGGCTCCTAATAAACGCAAACAGGACAAAAATTGCTAAATAATCGTGGCCGAGGACCTTTAAAACGGGTGAAATTCTTTAACTCACTTGTTGTTGCTTTTTGACCGGTCAGCACCTCATAAAGCCCTGGATTTAACAGCTGCAAAACATCAAGAAAGTGCACCAAACCGTCCGAATCTTTCGTTTTCAGAATGTCTAGCAGTTTGCTGGCTTTTCGTTCTTTTGTCTTCTCGGCGTTCACTAGTTCGCAATCTTCACTGTCAAATACCTCTTTACTTCGCAAATGATCGAAAAGAAGCGAGCGATCAACACGTAGTTGCTGGACTATTTGCACTCTGTGGCTTTGTAAACTCTCCCAGATTTCATCCATGCTAAAATTCGTTGGAACTGCGTATCAACTTTTCAAAGTATCAAGAACTCCTAAGTGAGCCGCAACTGCGAGTTCAAGCCGCATTTTATTCTACAGCGATCTATATAGTTCGGCAATTTTAAATTTCCTTCTTTGGTAGAAAAAATGCCGAATTTCTCAAACAAGCTGAAACGACTAAAAAGCTAATGGAGCAGGTAAGTGGGCGGTGTGTGGGGTGTTGCCGTGAGATCGCAAGTAAATTTGTTTTTATAACGGCACAGAGAAGCAATTTCTTTTTATAACGGCACAGAGAAGCAAACTTTAAAGTCTCATTTGTTTGAATGGCACAATAAAACAATTCACAATACGTGTCAGCCGCTTGAATTATAGAACCTGACTTGATCTGTGATTAAGGAATTCTTACACTTTTAATCAGTATTTTAAGTCAATAGGGAAGTAGGATTCTGAACCCAAAGAACACATCCGGAATATTCGAGAAATGAATGTTAGCCAACATTAGCACAGTCACGTTAGTATATAAGTGTATGAATGTATGTAAATTCTCGAGAAGCCCATGCATAGCACGAAGAGTTTGCCCAACCAAAAGAACCAAAGTCAATATGGCAACGAGGCCAGTTTCTCACAAAAATCTACTTTTATGCGTGTTTTTGACGTCCTGGTAAAAGTTGGTATAATTAAGCCTGAGTGACAGACGTCGAAAGGGAAATGGGGAGGGTGGGAAATAGCAGGGATATGGGAGGGGGGAATTGGTAAAAAAGAAAAGGCCTTCTATCTTTTCCCTTTCTCGCTTTTCTCCCTATTTCCCCTCCCTACCCCGCCCCACTTTTATTGTGCTGTTACAGTGATATGAGCATCCCCGCGTTTTGGGCATCCCCATTCCCGAAACCAGTAGGGTATCGAGGTTTTTGAATCTTATTGACTTTTTCATATCACTTCAAAACACTGACTAAAGAAAAACATTTCCTCAGTTTTATAGCTAGGAACCAGAAATTCACATCGTGATTTAACAAGGCTAGAATTTTCCGGTTTTATAAGGTAATGACGACGCGTTCGCTTCCGGAAACATATCCATACTCGATTAGAAAAGTGTTTTAAAAAATACTTATGAATTTGCTGCATCATGTTTCCGCTGATTGTTTTTACTTCATCCTCAAAAAGGAGGAAAGAGGAACAATAATGCATGACTAAGCTGTTCTGTGACCAGAGTTAGACTGATAAAGACATTCGAGAAATGAACAAGGAAAAGCGGCCTTTATAAAACGATATAATAACACATAAGCTTTTTTTTGAAAAGTCCTATACTGATTCAACCAATTTCGTTTTGACATTGATTGACTTGAAAAGAGTTTAAATTTACCCAAAGGAGAGATGTTTGTTATCTTAAGTGTTTAAGGTCACGCAGCGAATCATGTAAGGCAATTTCAGCCTGTTAACAACTGGTTATAAAATTGACTGAAATACAAATGCTCAAAATTTTAGACAGCCACAATGTGAATAAAACCTGAAAAAAGCCAAGACGGCATTGAATAAAGTTGAAGAATGTAGGACTGACTTTTAAAATAAAGTTTACGGTCATTTAAATAACTTCACTAAACTGAGATTTACAATGATCAGTAATAATCAAATGAACACAGTCGACTCTCTCAACGGGCACCTCTATAAGATGGGCACCTTTGTAAAACGGACACCTAGAGTTGGTCCCTGCCTTTCTTTACTCCATTTATTAAACTCTCTATAATACGGACATCACCCTCAGAGACGGTCCCTTAGTGTCGGTCTCAAAAGCCGCCTTAGAGAGCTTTATAGAAAGTTAAACGTGCCCGTTACTGGCGGATTTGATCAATACAATACTTTCACTTAGCCCCATTTTTAGTTTAGGGCTCCTAATAAACGCAAACAGGACAAAAATTGCTAAATAATCGTGGCCGAGGACCTTTAAAACGGGTGAAATTCTTTAACTCACTTGTTGTTGCTTTTTGACCGGTCAGCACCTCATAAAGCCCTGGATTTAACAGCTGCAAAACATCAAGAAAGTGCACCAAACCGTCCGAATCTTTCGTTTTCAGAATGTCTAGCAGTTTGCTGGCTTTTCGTTCTTTTGTCTTCTCGGCGTTCACCAGTTCGCAATCTTCACTGTCAAATACCTCTTTACTTCGCAAATGATCGAAAAGAAGCGAGCGATCAACACGTAGTTGCTGGACTATTTGCACTCTGTGGCTTTGTAAACTCTCCCAGATTTCATCCATGCTAAAATTCGTTGGAACTGCGTATCAACTTTTCAAAGTATCAAGAACTCCTAAGTGAGCCGCAACTGCGAGTTCAAGCCGCCTTTTATTCTGTAGTGATCTATATAGTTCAGCAATTTTAAATTTCCTTCTTTGGTAGAAAAAAATGCCGAATTTCTCAAATAACGCGGATACGACAAAAAAAGCTAATGGAGCAAGTAAGTGTCGTATTGACGTTTGTGGTTTTAATTAGGGCGGTGTGTGGGGCGTTGCCGTGATATCGCAAGTAAATTTGTTTCTATAACCCACAGAGAAGCAAACTTAATTATGCAAGTCTCATTTGTTTCAATGGCACAGTAAAGGAACTCAGAATACGTGTCAGCCACTTGAATTATAGAACCTGCCTTGATTTGTGATTAAAGAATTCTTACTCTTTTAATCAGTATTTTAAGTCAATACGGAAGTAGGATTCTGAACCCAAAGAACACATCCGGAATATTCGAGAAATGAATTTTCACAGTCACGTTAG